TTAAAAAAAAACAGCATGAAAAGTAAACATTCTACTACATCATTCTTCCTCCTTTTTCTATTGCTGACTTATGTCAGTTCATGATGGGTACATCTGCTCTTAATCTTGAATATTTCTCTTCATTCCACTCTACTTCAAATACACAGGGTCAGCGTGCAGGAAAGTGGCTGTTTCCATCATGGTGTTCTGATCTAAAAAATTATTTCATTTGGCAAAAGGCATTGATGATTAAACGATCAAACCAGTCTCAATCATGGAAATTTACGGAAAATCCGGACATTGAAATAATTTATCTGAGCTGATCTTTTATATTATCATCAATCTTATTACCACTGCTCTTTATCCATTTAAAAAAAAAACTTTAAAAAAGACGAACACAGATCTCCAATGTCTTTTCATTGGTATTTGGTAGCACTAGAATAACATCCAGAGACTGCAATCAATCTGAAGAGGTTGGAACAAAAGGTCATTCAACAGGTAGACATTTATTTTATTATTCAAATTTATAGTTTAACCCAGAAGGGTTTTAGCAGCAATGAAATTAAAAAAAATTGAACAAATAAAGGTCAAACAAAATGTATGTCAGTAAGCTCCCAAAGCCTCCAGAGCAGCTCTATCTGCAGCTTCTTGCAGAAAACAGATCATATTGGTGGCAAATCTCACACAGGAGACTGTTTCAAAGGGCTGGCCCTTCACCAAAGGCCAATACTTCCAGGTTATCCTATTTCCAGCTCTTGGAAATAGGATAACTAGATAACCTTCTTCCAGCAGGATTGAAATGGTAAAAGATGAGGCCCGAAGGGCACCAAGCCATAAAGGATTTTATAGGTTAATTTTTTTTATGGGGAAAAAATATAGGGCACACAGACAAGACGAGGGATTTATGGCTTGGAAGATCCACCCTGAAGGAGGACTTGGAAAAATGCTGAATGTATAAGAAATGTGAAGGTAACCCAATTCTGGGATATGCCAGAAGTAGTTCTGTATCAAAGAGACATTAAGCTTTGAAAACTATTAGCATTAAAGCTTCAGTGAAAAGAATGCCAAGGCTATTAGCATTAAAGCTTCAAAAATGAAGCTAGAAACAGATATAGTCTCTGCGGCCTTGCATGGGGGGCAGAGAGGACCACACAACTCTGGGGCCAGCTGGCCCCATGAGACCCCCCCTCCCGCCTATACTAACTAAGGCTAAATGCCCATCTTGGAATTGTTTACTTTTTTGAAATTTTATGTTATACTGTAATTAAAAAAATTAACTTAATTTTAATATTTTAATGTTGATTTTATATGTTTATATATTGATTATATTGTGCACCGCCCAGAGCTCCTCTCTCAGGAAAATGGGCAGTTTAGAAATAAGAAATATAAATAAATACACAAATTAAAGAGTTGTCATTATTACTAAATTTGATGTAGATTTAATCAAGTCAAACTGTTGTTCCTAGTGAGTTCTTGTAGATTCTTGCTGGCTATTAAACAAGATAGCCTCATTCTAAGAGAACACATCATGCTGATCAGCAAAAAAAATGTAAGATTAAAAGAGTCAGTACACTGGCTATTCAATTAATGAAAGTATGAAAAATTTCTTTTCCAGATTTTGATAAGATTGACTGCAAAGAACTACATGGGAGACTGTGAGTTCTAGTTCTGCCTTAGACATGAAAGCCAGCTGAATGATTTTGGGCCAGTCATTCTCTCTCAGCCCAATTCACCTCAGAGTTAATGTTATGGGGAAAAAACAGGAGGAGGAATGAGTATTAGATATTATTGGTTTATTTAAAAAAGAGGTAAAGGTGCGATAAAAGAAAAGGTATCAGTAGGAATGAGGGTATGCTCATTCTGATGCTATATATCAAATATTATATGTGTAGTTTGAAGTTCTTCCTGATCAAAGCACAATCCATTATTATTAGTACATGAGGAGAAAAGCTCTAATGGTGCAGTTTCTGTTCCAAACCTTTATGCCATTTTGATATAAAGGGATCAGCTAATGCATACGAAGTTAAGACATCAGAAAAAGTAATAAGCACTTGCCAAAATTTGAAGATATTAATCCATGCACTGACTTCAACTTTAAGTAGCCTGACTTAAGCAGCAAAACTTAAAGAGCAGCAGTAGGTATACACTAAGGTTTCTTTAGCGTAAGATCTGTACAAGAGTGGAAGAGTATCAACAGAAGATGTGAGTTCTACATTTCTGGGGTGTTTTAAGAAGAGGCTAAACAATTTCCTCTCAAGAATGGCTTAATTGGTTTTCCAGCACATGGTAGAATCATGGAATTGGATCACAAATTGGATCACAAGGATCACTTTCACAATACATAAAAAAACGTTTTTTTCAACAAAGCGTTCTTCTATATGTTCAACTAGAAATCTGCTATTTACCTCCACTGACACTTCTAGAACTTTTTGCCCTTTTAAGTATCTATTTTGTCATATGGATCAAAAATGCTATAAAATAAATATAGATATTATTTTGACTCTTTCCTTTGTGAAAAGCTTATATTGAAGAAAATTCAGTTCGAAAACAGATCATAAATATTTGGGGGCCAACAAAATATGCTTATAATAGTATCATATTGTAGAATTTTGTTTATTCAGAAGCAGATTCTAAAACTTGGGGGGGGGAGTGTTTCTTAGCATGTTGGCCAATTTAAGACAGCCTTTTTGTTCTTGATGTTATTGGGACTTCTGAAACTCCATTCATGTTAAATGCCTGGAAACCATATTGGGTGTTTCTAAGATTATTACTTTATTTTCATTCAGCAACTGAAAAATGAAATACTGTACAGTAGATGAAATCTACATTAATACAGCAACCAGAAAACTACAGACCAATCAGCTTGACATCAATACCTGGGGAAATCCTGGAAAAGATAATCAAACAGTGGATTTGTAAGCAGCTAGAAAGGAGCAAGACAATTACCGTACTTAGTAGCTAGCATAGGTTCATTAAAAACATATTATGCCAAACAAAACTTATTGCCTTCTTTGACAAAGTGACTAAATGGTGAATTAGGGAAATACTGTGGACATAGTTTACTTAGACTTCAATAAGAAATTTGACGAAGTAGACCACAGCCTATTTCTTGGTAAGATAGAACAGTATAAGGATAGACCGTACCAGCATCTGATGGATTTGCAGTTGGCTGACTAGCCACACTCAGCATGTACTCCTCAACGGAACCACATCTACATGGAAGGAAGCATGCAGTGAGATACCTCAAGGTTCTATCTTGAACTCAGTGCTCTTTAACATCTTCAAAAATTATTTAGATGAGGAGACAGAAAGGGACCTCATCAAATCTGCAGATGATACCAAGCTGGGGGAATTGCTAACACTTTGGAAGACGGACTCAAGATTCAGAGGGATCTTGACAGGCTTGAGGGCTAGGCCCTAGCCAACAATATGCAGTTCAATGATGATAAAAATAAGATCTGCACTAAGATAGAAAAAACCAAATGCATAGGTATAGATAGGTAATACCTGGCTCCACAATATTAAATGTGAGAGGAGTCTAGATGTTCTTGTGGACCGCCACTTAAATACGAGCCAGCAGTGTGTTGCAGCTGCCAAAAAAGCCATTGTAGTTCTAGACTGCTTCAACAGAGGGATAGCATCAAGATCATGAGAAGTGATAGTTCTGGTCATCACATTAGATGCCGAGACCCTTGAAAAAGTGCAGAGAAGAGCAACAAAGATGATAAGGGGTCTGGAAGCTAACCCATACAATGAATGGTTAACAGAACTAGATATGTCTAGCATAACAAAAAGAAAGATTAAGGGTGACATGACAGCTGTCTTCCAGTATTTGATGGGCAGTCACAGAAAAGAGGGGGTTAATTTATTCTCTAAAGTACCTGAGGGCAGGATAAGAAGCAATGGGTGGAAGCTCATTAAAGAGAAATCTAACCTGAAACTAAGAAGACATTTCCTAACAGTGAGAATAACAATCAATGGAAGTGTTTGCTTCCCAGAGTTGTGGGTGCTCCATCACTGGAGGTTTTCAAGAATAGATTGGACATCCATTTGCCCAGATTGTATAAAGTCTCCTGCCTTGGGTAATGGGGTTGGACTAGAAAGCCTCCAAGGTTCCTTCTGGCTTTATGATTCCATGTTTCTATGTTTGACATAGGAAACTTCAGGAAACATTTAAAATTGGTTACAATCTCTTAAAAATGCAATTCAAGAATTAGAACATTGATCCACATAGTTCTGGCTAATTCCTTTGGATTCTAATACTCATAAAACTTTCACAGTGATCTTGCTGGAATCACTGCTTGCCAACTCTGTGCATGCTATCCTAGAACAGATTACTAGTACATGAATTTATTAACAACCCAAGGGTTGGCAAATTCTTTATGTGTGATGGCTGTGAACAGTCAAGGTAATTATCACACTGCATGGATAACAAAGCTCTGACTGGTTAACTTGTACTTTCTTACAATGTAGCAAAGAAGATGATTTTTAAGAAATGTGCTTTGAATGTAGGGCAAATATGCAGAAAGATAATTTCCTTGGTCATATGATTCTTTCTCAACCCAACAGAGAACTGAAACAAAAAGATAACTTTGGAGCTAACTTACAAAGCTGCTGTAATAAGCAAGACTGAACACAGATTATAACCAAATGCAGCCACTATCTTGAAATCTCAGTAGTATTATGAAGTGATTAGCTGCCCTTAACTTACTTAAGAATCTAATTAGCTCAGATAGTCATTTTTTTCACTGTTATGAAGGTTGTTACTCTATAAATGACCTGCACTTCATATTAAATGAAATTGACAAGTGACAATCCAAAGCATATACAGTGTATTCAGAAAGTATTCAGACCCCTTCACCTTCGCCAGGTTTGTTATCCTGCAGCCTGATTCTACAGTTGTTAAAATTCATTTTTTTCTCATTAATCAGTATCCCATAATAATAAAGTAAAAACAGAATTTTAGAAATATCTGTAAATTTATTTATTTTTATTTATTTATTTATTTATTTAAAGTATTCAATCCCTTTGCTACAACAGGTGACATTTAGCTCTGGTGCCTCTCATTTTGCTTGATCGTTGCTGGCTTGTTTCTTCACCTTGATTGAAGTCGACCTGTGGTAAATTAAATTGACTGAACATGAACTGGAAAGGCACACTTCTCTCTAAAGAAGGCCTCACAGCTGACAATGCATACTGTAGCAGAGGAAAAACCATGAAGTCAAAGGAACAGCCTGCAGAGCTCAGGGACAGGATTATTGCAAGGCACAGATCTGGAAAAGGCTACAATAAAATTTCTGCTGCACTGAAGTTCCTAAGAGCACAGTGGCCTCCATAATTTTCAAAGGGAAGACATTTGGCACAACCAGGACAATTCCAAGAGCTGGTCACCTGATTGAACTGAGCAATCAGGGAGAAGGGCATTAGTAAGAGAGGTAACCAAGAACCCAATGATCACTCTGACTGAGCTCTAGAGATCTTGTGTGGTGATGGGACAGAGTTCCAGAAGCAGCCCTCCACCGATCTGGGCTTTATGCCAGAGTGGCTACAATGAAGCTTCTCCTCAGTGCAAAACACATGAAAGCCCACTTGCAGTTTGCAAAAAACCACCTAAGGACTCTCAGACTGTGAGGAACAAGATTCTCTGGTCTGATGAAACCAAGATTGAACTGTTTGGCCTCAATTCTAAACGTTATGTCTGGAGGAAACTAGACATCGCTTATCACCATCATCCCAACAGTGAAGCATGGTGGTGGCAGCAGCATTATGCTATGGGGGTGTTTTTCAGTAGCAGGGACTGGGAGACTGGTCAGGGTTGAGGGAAAGCTGAATGGAGCAAAGTACAGGGATATCCTCAATGAAAATCTCTTCCACAGTGCTCAGGACCTCAGACTGGGCTGAAGGCTTACTTTCCAACATGATAACGGTCCTACGCACACAGCCAAGACAACATAGGAGTGGCTTAGGGACAATTCTGTGAATGTCCTAGAGTGACCCAGCCAGAGCCCAGACTTGAACCCTATTAAACATCTCTGGAGGGACCTGAAAATGGCTGTCCACCGACGTCGCCATCCAACCTTACTGACTTGAGAGGATTTGCAAAGAAGAATGGCAGAAAATCCCCCAATCCAGGTGTGCAAAGTTTGTCACATCATGCCCAAAAGGACTCGAGACTGTAATTGCTGCCAAAGGTACTTCAACTGATTGAAGGGTCTGACTATTTATGCCAATATGATATTTCAGTTGTTTCTTTTTAATAAATTTACAGACATTTCTAAAATTCTGTTTTCACTTTGTCATTATGGAGTACTGAGTGTAGATTAATGGAAAAAAATGAACTTCAACAACTATAGAATCAGGTTGCAGCATAAAAAAATTGGCAATAGTGAATGCACTGTTTATAAGTGTTTGTCCACTGGTGGAGGATAACCTGGTTTAAGCCACTTTTAAAGAAAAGAGAAGGAATTCCAACATTATTATCTTTAAAAGTTTTTGCCGTGTTTTAAAGAAATGTTAACCAAGATACATCTTGGTTGAGTCTTGAACTTTGTAATGACAGTTTACATTATTCTTTCTTTGTTCTCCTGTTACAAGAGCTATCCTTTCATGATTAGGTCGGATGTGATGGCAGTGCTTTAACTAAATCTAGTTTAAATCATGATAAGGAAAACACTCCCTGTTTTCAAACCATGCCGGCCAACCAAATTTACTTAAAGATGAAGTCATAACAATGAGGGAAAAGAGCAAATAAAAGGATTGGATAGGCATATTTGTTAATGTCAATACAGTGACTTTAACAAGTGCTGTTTGGGATATATAAATAACGTGTTGATGGGTTAAATTAAATGAATGCACATCATATACTAGCAGCTATATCAACAGATATGAAGACATCTGTTGAAGTTCAAGGTTTATTTTCTTTCACTTGTCAATCAACAATAAACTAGAGCAATTATGATCCAATTGACACACAGTCTCTATGAGCCGGCATAATTATTTTTATAGGCACATATTTTTTTCAAGAATCATGAAACTATGAAATTGTAAAATCTAATGAGAACACTACAGTAGAGTTACTATTTTATATTAAGTCAAGTAATTCTATGTGTGAATGTATATAGAGCAGCAGTTTTACTAGATGTCAAACCCAACAAAGTTTATTCATAATTCCACCATAACTGGTTTTACAACTTTCATATTGTGCAATAAAAAACCCTTACTATTACAAGCTATGCTAATGAAGTTGACTCAACATCATTCTCAACAATTTAAAAATGAGCAGAACATAAAAATACAGAGTAGAAAAACCCAACTAATATTCTTTATTCTAAAATCCTTTTTAGATATACCTTTACTTCTACACTCCGTTTTCAATTTCAAAGAAGTATCTGGTTTTGGTTCAAGTATTACTGCACTAACAGAATAGGCCAGTGATGGCGAACCTTTTAGAGACTGAGTGCCCAAAATGCAACCCAAAACCCACTTATGCATTGTCGAGTGCCGGGTGGATATGGCCCATTGGGTGGGTGTGGCCAACTGGGTGGGCGTGACTGCAGTGGTAACGGCAGACTGGGTGGGACTAAAAAGTTCAATCAATCAATTCCAACTTTGCAAGATCTTTTTTTTCCCCACGAGAAGTTGAAATTGACTGATTGAACCTTTTTTTTTTTTTGCGAAAAGGTTTTATAAAATCCAGCTGAAGGCCTAGGACTGGGGCGACGGCGTGCGTGCCCACAGAGAGGGCTCTGAGTGCCGCCTCTGGCACCCGTGCCATAGGTTCGCCACCACTGGAATAGGCGCTAGTACCTTTTTGGTGGGTAGATGGTTTTGTATATTGTGAGCTCTAAAAATATAAAAAAGTACAGGTAGTCCTCGACTTACAACAACCATTCGTTTAGTGATTGTTTAAAGTTACAAAAGTACTAAAAATTGGTTTATTACCATTTCTCACACTTATGACCATTATAATAGGATCCCTATGGTCATGTGATCAAAATTCAGAAGCTTGGCAACTGGCATGAATTTATGACGGTTGTAATGTCGCAGGGTCATGTGATCACCTTTTGAGACCTCCCAGCAAGCAGAGTCAATGAGGAAATCAGATTCGCTTAACAACCCTGTCACTAACAACAACTGCAGTAATTTAACCACTGTGGAAAGTAAAGGTCGTAATGTGGGACAAGACCCACTTAACTGTCTTGCTTAGTAACTAAATGTTGGGCATCAATTGTGGTTATAAGTTGAGAACTACCTGTACATATTTTCAACATATAAAGCCCCAAAATCATTAGACCTCATGTGACATCTTAGGAGGTTTGACTTATTTCCCAAGAGTGTGTTTTTAATAAATGATCTACAGTCACTATCTAGGGACAATCTTAGTCTGTCAGTTTAAAGAATTTGCAGATTGGGTGCGGGCAAGAACAGTACAGATGGAAAATGCATCTAAACCCTGGTAAAGCAGTTCAATTTGTATCAGAATCAGAACAGAGTTGGGAGGGACCTTCGGGGTTTTCTAGTCCAACCCCCCCTGCTCAAGCAGGAGGCCCTATTAAGATTCAAATATTCTGACTGTACTGAAGAAATAACCCAAATCAGCCTCACAGAATAAAACAGTTTGTTGGCCTCAGTTCTGGTTAAAGATTTTATGAGAAACTGATGAAAAAAGGCACACCCCTTCCCCCATTACTACAATGCCTGCCCGCATTTGCAAATTCTTTACATTGACACTGTGATAAACTGAGGTTTGCAACTCTGACATTATAATTCTGAGCTGTCAATAAAATGCTAGGGCCATTTCTTCTGTTGGGTAATATTATTGTGACCAATTTTTTACCCCTGTAATGTTCATTAGATAGCGGTGTTAGCTCCTCTAACATGATTTTCATTTTTTTAGCTGAAAAATTAAATGTTCCCTAGAAATTTCACCAAAATACTTCATGTACCTGAATTCATACTCATCTGTTAGTCTTTTCCCACAAACTAGAAGCAGTTGGCATATTGAAAGGATGGCTTTATTTGGCTGTGAGAAACACAGTCACATTGTCATGCTGTTAAATAGACTGGAAAATGGACCAACTGCCTATTTTAAAGCCTTGTTTCTTATTGTTGCTGATTTTTAAACTTGATGCTCATTAGCATAATTACTGGGTATGATTCTTCATAAAGGAATCAACATGGCTCACCATTTTCAATTCTGTTTTGAAAGAACTTGGCAAGTGGTTCAACTGACAATAAAGATACTGTTTCCCCCCCACGCCCAAGGGGTTCTGTTCTAACTATACTAAATTAATAAGCTAGTATTTCCACACAATGTTTCATAAAGAAGAATGTCTGCTTTTTAGACATTTTTGTATTATGTTACAGGAACTGTTAACAATAAAATATATTTACTGCCATGGTATAAAATGCTATAACTGCAATTTCTTATAGTTACTCCATGTGAAATTTAAAAAAAAAAGAATTTTATCCCTTGTGCCTAAATAACTTCAGTCATAACTTGAAAAATGTTCCTAGAAGTTGATATGCGTTAGTGCAATACAGATTTACATTGATTTTTAACAGTTTAATAGTGTTGTACAAAACACAAAGAAGTGGATTCACAAGTAATACCCTACATAAATTAGTTTTTCAAACATTTTTTTCAAACACTGGCCTTTTGAAAATGAATAAACATAGATGTAAATATGTAGTTTTACTTATTACTGTCCATATTGCTGTTAAGATATATTTTCCTCCTTTCTTGCCTTTGTTTCTTAACAATAAAAAGGGGAAAGGTTTCTCATACAAGTGATCTCCCACTCTAGGGGGTGGTGCTCAACTCAGATTCATAGTCGAAGAGCCAGTGTTGTCTGAAGCCACTTCTGTAGTCATGTGATCAGCATGACTATACACTAAAGGCTCACGGAATGCTATTACCTTCCCATCTAAGTGGTACCTATTTATCTACTTGCATTTACATCATTTTGAATTGATAGGTTTGTAGGAGCATGGGCAAATAACAGAAGCTCACTCTTGCACTTGGTACTTAGGTCTTGAACTGCCAATCTTCTGGTCAACAAGCTCAGCATCTTAACTTCTTGGCTGCCATGCCCTATATATTTTCAACAATGTACAGTATATTCTCTATATATTCTATATTCTCTCTCTCTCTCTCTCTGTGAAGTATATACTTAAGTTACATTTAATAAAGGTACAGGAGGATCTGGATAATAAAGGTACAGGAGGATCTGGACAGACTTGAACACTGGGTTAGGGTTAGGGTTAACAAAATGAAATATCTAACAAAATGAAATTCAATGGTGAAAAAAGTAAAGTTCTACATTTAGGCAAGAAAATCCAAATGTACAGGTATAGTATAGGGGAGTACCTTGCTCAATAATAGTAACTGTGAGAGGGATCTTGGGAGTCCTAGCGGACAATCACTTAAATATGAGCCAGCAGTGTGCTGCAGCTGTCAAAAAAGCCAACACAGTGCTAGTCTGCATTAACAGAGGGATAGAATCAAGATCACGTGAAGTATTAATAGCACTTTACAATGCCCTGGTAAGGCCACACTTGGAATACTGCATCCAGTTTTGGTCACCACGATGTAAAAAAGATGTTGAGACTCTAGAAAGAGTACAGAGAAGAGCAACAAAGATGATTAGGGACTGGAGGCTAAAACATGTAAGGAACGGTGGCTGGAATTGGGTATGACTAGTTTAATGAAGAGAAGGACGAGGGGGGACATGATAGCAGTGTTTCAATATCTCAGGGGATGCCACAAAGAAGAGGGAGTCAAGCTATTCTCCAAAGCACCTGAAGGCAGGACAAGAAGCAACGGATGGAAACTAATCAAGGAGAGAAGCAACCCAGAACTAAGGAGAAACTTCCTGACAGTTAGAACAATTAACCAGTGGAACAACCTGCCTCCAGAAGTGGTGAATGCTCCAACACTGGAAGTTTTTAAGAAGAGACTGGACAAGCATTTGTCTGAAATGGTATAGGGTTTCCTGCTTGAGCAGGGGGTTGGACTAGATGACCTCCAAGGTCCATTCCAACTTTATTATTAAATAAATATAATATGTGAATATACATTAGTATACATTTAATATGTATTAAATATATTAAATAAATTATATATAAATATGTTAAATAAAATATTAATAAATATATATTCCCCATATATCCTCAAAAATACCAATTCATTATTGTTCTTTTTTATTACATCTGTATGACTTCTTAGAAAACAAAGCAGTTACTCTATAGAGTAATTTATAAGATGCCTTTCCCAGCAGGCCTCCAATCAATTATTCATAATCTATTAGCCAGATGTTACTGTCCTATACACTAATATATGTTTCCTATTTCTTTTTGCAATAGGTCTGCATGACTTTCATATGTATAAAAAAATTAAGTATGTTTTTTCATCAAAACGGGCAAAAAACAAAGCTTGTACTCTTAGGTTTTTATTCTAGACACATGGCTATCATTGGAATCTAAAGAACAAAGGCTTCAGGATAGGAAATAGATGACAGCTAGCAAGCTGGTCTGGTTGAAATGAAGAGTCATACATAATTCAGCCTTCCCCTATTTCCAGAACTCAAATATCGTTATGTATAGAGAACATGCTTCAGGATGTATATTGAATATACCAATTATCAGATTAGGAGCTTTCCATTAATTTAAAAAAATGATATGGAACTACATTCACTTACACTCTAAGGAGAAAACACCCTACATTATCTTAGGAAAAAAGGTATCAAACTAAACAGTAAAACATCAACCAAGATTTTAATTTCCATTTCCCTAGGAAATTTTGTTTGATTTAACTCAGCTTTTAAAAACATATTGACTGACTTATTTAAGCACAATCTATCAACAATGCATTCCATTTAAAAACACATTAAAAATGTAAAAAAATCTACATACATGTATAATATAGCTCAACACAGTTTCTACAGGGTTTAGTGTATCTCTGCTCAGAATACAAGTACAGCTTCCAACTTACGTTTTTCATCATCAGCATGCACAAGTGATGCTGCTCTTGACAACACATCCAATGGAGTCTCCATTCCTGACTGGATCCTATATAAGAAATAAATATTATATTATTTTGTCAGACAATAAAAGAGGCAAATCCCTATTTCATTAAGTCATCAGCGATCAATAGGGCCAGATGCTTCTTCAGACAGGCCTCCAGATACAGGAGATGTTGAGATCCAATATTTATTGCCTTGTCTGCAAGCCACCCAAAGTTATGAAGCACCAGATGGGTGGCTACATAAGGCTAAGACATGTTCACTAGGAGTCAAAAACAACATAATCAATCATATGAGATTATTACATTAAAAAACAAATATTTTCTCTCAAGAAAACTTCAGGAGCAATCAGAAATGAATCCCCAATATATCACTTTGTAAATAAAATCAATCCAAACAATAAAAAAATAATAATTCCAAGAATAAAGCTTGTAAAATACCCTCTTCCCCAGTAAAGCTTGTAAAATAAGCCCACTGGTTTCAGTAATCCAAATTAAAACACTGCTCTGCTATATCGTGTTAGTTTGGTTCTTAGAAGAACCATTCTTGCTTACTGAATTATACCAGTAATTGCAATCAAATTGCAGCAGTATTATTTTCATGCGCTTCCCTAAAATTGCTAGAAAGAAGGTTCTGTTCAGACTGTCATCCCCTTTTTAATAAATTATTTCATTACACTAAACAACCAAGCCAAAACAATTACAAATTGGATAACTGAATTCCAGTGCTAGATGCCCTATAAATCAACTCTTCATTATTAGACACTATGTTCAAGTTTGACCATTTAGTTAACTATCCATGACAATGTTGTCCCAAAAATCTCAGATCCCTATAAATTTGATGCTAATTCCTAATAATTTTAAATATGTTCCCAGGACTAAGCAAATTTATGGGATACAATCTGGTATGGAACTCTAGAATGGGAGGCAGAAGCTGCTGTCCTGTGTCCCACTGCAGTCCTAAGTAGAGTTTGCCCCACACATACAAAACACCTACAAATAGAATTTACATAGGCAAGAAATACATTGTTAATTTCAATTATAAATTTGAATCCAGGAGAGAAGGAACAAATCACCAACCTTACCAGGTCCTTATCCAGGGTAAGGGGTTTGCTCTGAGAGTTCAGAAACCAAAGGGCAAACTATTAATTCATCTACACCAGTGGTTCTCAACCTTTTTAATGCCGCGATCCCCAACCGGTCGTAAGTTGAGGACTAAACCGGTCATAAGTCGAGGACTAAACCGGTCATAAGTCGAGGACTAAACCGGTCGTAAGTCGAGGACTAAACCGGTCATAAGTCGAGGACTACCTAACCGGTCGTAAGTCGAGGACTTTCCCTGCCCGGGAGCTCCGCGCATGCGTGGTTACGCCCCCTGCACCGGCCGAGGCGTAGCTGGCAAGCGGCAGAGACGGAGCAGGCCGACCACCAGCTGGCCCAGCTCAAGGGAGGTAAGGCACCCGCCGGAAAAGGGGGAAAAAATGGCAGACAGCCTTGCTTGGCGACCCCCATGAAATGGTCGATCGACCCCAAATGGGGTCACGACCCATAGGTTGAGAACCGCTGATCTACACTTTGATCATACCAGATTATAAATTGGATATAGGCCAGGGGTGTCAAACTGCTGGCTCGCGGGCTGGATGCGTCACACGGAAGCTGCGCCCACCCCATTGCTGGCAATGGCAAAACAGTCCTGATATGTTGCGCGACGTCACGTGACATCGCGAGTTTGACATGTCTGATATAAGCTAACATACAGTATTAGGGAAGGTGGATTGCAAACAAGTCTGCTTTAAATCAACAAAATGAACCATATATCTTTTTAGCCAAAACTAATCAAAAGTGTACAAAATTATGACTTCAGACAAAAATGATTGCTTTAGAAAATAAATATGGAGACGGATACCGGTAGATAGAAAGTGATTAATTCAACTTTCCTTCCTTAAGGGTTTCATTTTGTTATTTATCCAATCACCAGATGGAGAGTGTATCAAAATCACTGTGCATAGGAAAACAGAAATAAACAAATAGCGGCTAAAGAAACAAACTCTCTTCTCCTCGGAACTTAACTGTGCAATAAAAACATTACTATGTCTTCATTGTAGCCCTCATTGCCTCTGAATTTACTGTTCAAACATTGATGCCACCTCTCAAACTGAACACCTGCAAAATTTAAATCATTACATCCCAAATGTTGCAAAAAGGGGGAATCCTCTACCTGCAGCCAGACTGGGCTAACAGACCAAATCGTATCAAATCTCAATTAATACAAGAAGATTTCGAAAGCTAGGAGATGCTACTTTGCATGGAGGTAGCAAAACCCTGGAACTGAGAAAGGGGAAATTCCCAGAGCCTTTTGAATGACTCTCTTCAATGTAAAAGCACCCTGCAGAAGGCAGCTGTCTAAAAAATCAAAGGGGCTCAAGGAAGAGCAGATGTCACGCTGACACTGACAAGTCCAAACAAGGCTAGAGAGATGTGTCATTTGGTAAGCACTGGCAGGACATGGCAGAGTTAACAGTAAGAGCCTGCAACTATTAGGTGGCCAAAACAAACACCTCCCACAAAACTTAGCCAATCCAACCAAACTTGTCCATCAAAGTTTGCATACCAGTACCAATTGCCATCCTTGCTAGTTCTTGCTAAACAGCCTCAAGTTCAGACCGAAGAAGTGGATATCCATGGCAAAAGCAGCACTGGAATGCACGCACATAACTCTTAAGCGGCTTTGTTTCTTTCCAGATCGCTTCCAATCTAACATTTGCTTACATTCTGAGTGTGTTCAGCATGTAAAGGGTGCTAAAGTGGGGGGGGGGCTGCAATCGTGGGCGGTTAGGCATCTCGCAAGAGAAAGCCCAGGAAAAAAAAAAAATGGGCAGCGCCCCGAGAAAGCTCCGAAGAAAAAAAACGCAAGGAGGGTCCGCTTGCAAAGGCCAGCTAAAACGATCCATTAAAAGCCAAGAATCAACCGGAGCGCTTTTTGTGCAGGATAAATATAGCACGACAACGATCTACTACCGGTAAGTTAGCGTATTCTAACACCAGCAAAACAAAACAAGAGAAAGAAAAGGGGGAGGGGTAATACGAAGGAGAGCTACATGTTCGTTGCAAGTACTCTCCCTTTCCCTCCTCCTCCTCCCCCCCCCCCGTTCTCCGGGATTTCACTTTTCCAAGACTACAGACGCATAAAATCTACCCCGCGTTTTCTCCCACTTGGAGCCGAGAATAAATGCTTTTTTTTTTTATTCACTTCTAGCGCTTTATCCACTAGAGAAGTCGGCACGCAGGTCCAAGCACGGCTTGCAACAAACGGCAGGTCTGAAAGCAACCATTCCCCCCCCCCCAGCCCCCTTCCAGAGCCCCGGGCCCGCTTAAAGGCGATCAGGAAAAGCTCCGACCCTCAGCGCCGAGCTTCCACCAGGGTCCACCAAGCGCCGACGAGCATCTTCCCGGTGCCGCACTACTATCCACAGCCTCTCCAGCAAAGGCGCCGCACCGTACTTCCGCCGCCGCGGCTACGACCAGGGGCCGTGCAAAGCCCAGCTCCCGTTGCAGGCTCCTCACTCACCAGTTTGCAAAACCTCCGCGCTACTCAGTCGCGCTCCCCCCTGCAAAGCCGGGCCGAGCCGGGCCAGGAGGGGGGGGGGGAGAGGGAAGAGAGAGAGAAACTCGGCGCGCGCCCTGCCGCGGTCGCTCCAAGCGTTCCTCGCTTCTCCAGTCGCCAAGCTCGGTTGCGCGGGCTCCAGCCAGGAAGCGCCCTGCCTGCTGATTGGGCAGAAGGGTCGCGCGGCTGGTTCCCAAACAATGCGAAGCCTCTGCAGATTCACCAGCCGCGCTCGGAACTGCTCGGCGCGCGCGCTGCGGTGCACTAGCCGAGGGAAGAATTCCAAGAATGATGGAATTCTCTTCCTAGCAGGTGGGGAGAGCCCTGCTGCCCCATTGGCTGCGGAGCTCGTGAGATCAGCCTACATTAGGATAATAAGGCCATGACATCATATCCTCAGCAGGTAATATCGAAGTCGGGATGGGGTGGGGGGGGGGTTGGGGAGAAAGAGAGGGAGGGGCGGTCGAGAGAGAAAATAACTACAATGTGTTTCAATGGGAGCCCGAATTTAGAGGCGGGGCGGGAAGCGTTCCCCATTGTCTTACCCTCGGCCGCCTCCTTCAGGGCCGAGAGTTGCACGGCGCCCTGGCATTCTTCCTCCCCCCCCCACCTACTCGCTGGTTCTCGGCTACACAAAGCAGGAGCTTGGCAGTTACTCGGTCGCAGCAGCGGTTTCTATGCAACGTACCGCGACTCTGATCCGGATTAAAGCGACGAGATTGCAACCGCTTGCCCGGAAGAAACCCGCTGGAAGGCATAATAGGCGGCCACAAGCGGCAACCTTTGTGCCTCCTCCAAGCGATTCCCGCCGAACGAAGGTCAGAATCCGAGAGGAGGAGTAATTTCTTTCAGCAATTCCTAAATCCCCTGAATTCATCTTCGTATCCCTCCTTGGGCGATTAGTTTTATTATTTTTTTGACCGACTGCCTTGTATTGTTTATCTGTGGAGTAGAATTGTAATGACCCAAGGGCTTTCTAAACTTCTTGCAGCAAACTCGCTTCCATTGAAGGTTCATGTTTTTTCAATAATTCCGTCCTTCCTATCAAAACGTTTGAAAAAGAATCTTTTTCTTCAGCCTAAAATCGCAAAATTGTATGAATAATTGGAAACCGGATACTGTACAACAGGGGTCCCCAACCCCAGGTCTGTGGACCAGTACCGGGCTGGGACATGCCAGCAACCGGTCCGCACAAACAAAGCCCCATCCGCAGAATGCAGGCAGCACACAAAACCACGCACCTTCCGGTCTGCGGAACAACCTCTCTCCACGTAACTGGTCTCTGGTGCCCGAAAGGTTGGGGACCTCTGTTACAAAAATAAGAGATATGGATCAGGCAAAACATACCAAGTTTATCAAGCTTCAGTCTGTGTGTTTACTACTGAGGAAGACTGTCAACAAAACATTGCTGTGGAAACAATATGTGAAGTCAGCCTTTTCTGGAAGAGAAACACAAAAATCTTCCTCAGAATAGTCAAAAGTATCAAGGAGTTACTTGTCCCCTCATCAAATAACTTTCAATACAAATCTAAATAAGTAGTATCAATGAAAATACGATATATTTTACTTGAAATAGTTGCATGTTTATCATAATATATACGCTGCAATTTAACTCTGTCCATAGCTTTGGGAGGGGAAGAGTGCCTCCCTGCAAATTTCTTGGTAAGGTTTTTCAGAAATAGTTCACCCTTTCCTTCTTCCTAGGGCTGTGAGAGAGTGACTGGCCCAGATTCTCCATAGGATCAATATCAATATGTAGCTCAGGCATGTCAAACTCGCGATGTCACATGACATCATGTAATGTATCAGGACTTTTCCCCATTGCCAGCAATGGGGCGGGCGCGGTTTTGGCGTGACACATCTGGCCCATGGTCGGGCAGTTTGACATGCCTGATGTAGCCAATATTTAGCTACTACAAAAATGACGCATCATTTGCAGGTGGAATATGACTGCACACATAAAAGGAATCTTTGAATGGAACTAATCAAAATGGAAGCACCCTATATGGTAGATGTCTTCAAAGGTTTTTAAATTTAGGTCTACAGGTAGTCCTTGACTTATGACTGTAATTGAGCCCAATTTTTCTGTTGTTAAGTGAGGCAATTGTTAATTAAGAACTTTCTGCCATAATTGTACACAAAGTTTGATCATGTGACTGTCGGGATGCTTCAATAGTCATAATGTGAGAACTGGTCATAAGTAACTTTATTCAGTGCCCTTGTAACTTTGAATGATCATTAGACAAATGGTTTTAAGTCCAGGACTACCTGTATTTTGATCATTGCCCAATGACTGTATTAGAAGCGAATGAGTGTTCATAAATGTGGAAAAAAAATTTCTAATGCCCATGTTGAAATAGCAAGTCACACATCTGAGGAAAGTGAAATCTCTTAAGGTTAATTAACCTTGTAGAGCCTGAAGTACTTTTTTGTTCACATATAAAAATTAGAAAACATTAACTATATGTTTAAAATACTTTAGATAAAAAAACTAAAAAATCATGCATTTCAAGTATTTTATTGATTAAAATTATGGAACATTAGCTCCATATTAGGCACATCTAACAATGTATAGTGCACATTGCAACACATGTACTATAAATGATAGCTGTTAGAAGAAATGTAAACATGATAAAAAGCAAACAAAAGATTCATTGAAAGGTATCTACATATCTTGCTTTTTCATTATTTTTTAATCTTTGAAAATATCCAGTTTACTTTAAAAAGTAAGCAAAGCAAAATAGTATACTCATAAAATTGCATTAAAACACTGGATAGTGGCATTCAACATATAACTGTTAAGTTTTTCCATAGAGTTAAGACAAACTTGATTGGTGTCTATTCCTAAAGGTTCATAAGTTTAAACATGTGGAATAAAATGAAGATAACATACTTCTTGAGAGTTGAAGTGTTTAGTGTGTGTAAATCTGCCCAGAACGATTATTAGTGTTGTTTCCAGTACCTTGAGCTCTTTGTTCCTTCCACGGTCCCAACAGTCTCTCCTTGTCCAGCACAAAGAAAATCTCTTGAGATTTCAGGAACAAATCTCTTGAGATTTCAGAGCTCCACCTCTATGCCACCATGCCACTCAAAAATAAATAAAACCCTTAAAATATCATTTTACTCACCTTTGTTGTAATTACAGCATTCCTTGTAACTTCCATTCTATTCAGAAATAGTGAATTTTCCATGTTTTATTTTGATCATATTTTATTGTTTTAACTATTCTGTTTTTAAAAACTTTTTAATGGTTTTAATTAACATTGTGACCATAAGAAAGCCTGAGCGACAAAGAATTGAGGCCTTTGAACTATTGTGCTGGAGAAGACTCCTGCGAATCCCTTGGACTGCAAGGCGTTCAAACTGGTCAGTCCTAGAAGAGATCAACCCCGACTGCTCTTTAGAAGGCCAGATCCTGAAGTTGAAACTCAAATACTTTGGCCACCTAATGAGAAGGAAGGACTCACTGGAGAAGAGCCTAATGCTGGGAAAGATTGAGGGCAATAGAAGAAGGGGACGACAGAGAATGAGGTGGCTGGATGGAGTCACTGAAGCAGTAGGCGTG